CCATGAGGGAGGCTGAGGAAGCTCTAATCACTTATGGCCATTTCTCATTTCACTAGAACGCAAATACGGACTCGTGTACGGACGCTGTCCCTTCTCAGTCTTGTGTACTTGCGAGTTGGAACAGTACCAGGGTTAATGCTAATGACGTTAAACGAGCACACAAGTACTCACTGAAAAACGGCTATTGTCTTTCAGTGTTTGAAAAATCTGTGTTTGTTTGTCCTGATCTTTAAGGCCAACTGTTCTAGATGTGAAATCATAACATGTTACAGTTGTTAACTTTAGATAAATGTCTGAGCTACAGCTTCTATACCAAATAATATTGAGAAACAGAGCTGCTGCAGGATTTATAAATGGAGGTTCAGTTTTAAAGGCGAGCCTGGAACCTGAAGCTAATAACAGGAAGATGAGAGCTGATGAAGTTTTATAGAAATACAGGAAGTGTTTATAGTGAGCAAAGCCATCAGCAGCCGCTTATGATTTCCTCTTTGCTATTTGGTTCCGAAACAGACATAGAGAGTTGTTCAAGCGCCGCCAGAGGAAGAAACCCAGTCCCTCTCCGCGAGTCAGCATGACTACTGAACATCTAACATCTAAATCTGAAGCTTCTAGTTAGAGTGGCTCAGGTTATCCTGAGCTATCTCTATAGTTCTGCTGCTATAGGCTTAGACTGCTGGAGGACATAGGGACCCCTTTTTCATCATTCTGCTTCATTCTATCTCTATTCTCCCACTCTGCAGAATCTGTTAGTTCAATCTCTAACGTTCTGCTCTCTCTGCTTTTTCTCATAGTAGCTTCATCTGGTCTGTTCCTGTTTGGCTGTGACTCCATCCTGGAGAGAAATATCAGCTGTGCTGCTGCCATCAACACCTTTGTTTCTAGATGTTGGAGCTTGGCCTGTTTTCCAGTGTAGTCCTGTTTCTCTGACTGTGACTAACTGGATGTGCTCTCTTCATCCTCTGACATGGGAGCTGGCTCGGAGCTCGTCTGCCTGGCTGTGTGTTTCCTGGACGGGGCCGCCTGTGGAGCTGGTTGCCTTTTGTATCTATGCTTCTTTTTCTATGTCTGCTTCTGTCTCCTTGAACCCCAGTGGGCCTCAGCAGATGGCCGCTCACACTGAGCCTGGTTCTGCTGGAGGTTTCTTCCTGTTCAAAGGGAGTTTTTCCTCTCCACTGTCGCTACAAGCATGCTTAGTGTGAGGGATTGCTGAAGAGTCAATGAGTCGATGCAATCAGCTGGTTTTCCTTAGATAGAAAACTTTGAATCACTCTGACTGGATGATCTGGTGAACTGGAAAGAGCTTTGAGATTATACGATGTAAATTAGCACTGTAGAAATAAACTGAATAGAATTGAACTCTAAATGCAAAGCAAGTTTATTTCGAAAGCGAAGGTCAGTACACGAATAATTCAAAGTGTTTTACATGAATTAAACAGTAACACAGAAGGAAAATAAAAGCAGAATAGAAGCAGGTAGTAAAACCAATCAAACAGTTTGATCAAAACCTTAAACTAATAATCCCTCAGTTACCAGATTATCTCCATCAGATCTAAACTAACCGGTTTTTAATCTGACTTCAAAGAACTCAGGCTTTCAGCTGTTTTCAAGTCTGCTGGGAGTTTGATCTAGATCCATGGAGCATAGATGCTGCTTCTCCATGTTTGGTTCTAGTTCTGGGTGGACAGAGGAGGCTGGAACTAGAAGACCTGAGTGGTCTGGGAGGTAGATTATAAAAGGTTAACTTAGTAATAGTGACCTTTCTGAGCTTCTGAAGGTTCAGGTCTGAGTCCATCATGACACCAAGATTTCAGCCATAATCTAAAAGATCACAAATCTAATCAGCATTTATATTCTGGTCAGGATACAGTAATGCACCAAGCAGCCATAACATTTATTAACGCTTGAGTCCTTTGGGCAACATTTCAGGATGCTGAACAGTCATCAAAGTGGAGGAGAATCAGGTTTACAGAAATTCATCTTTGACATTTTCAGAACGGAGACAGTCAGAGACATCTGGTGTGTCCCAGTTGATCTGATAACGTCTTTCTCATCTCAGCTCCTCACTAGATAAGATCATGTTTCCCTCCCCCATGTTTTCTGTCTTCTGATTGGCCCCTTCTGTAGTTGACCAAACCATCTGCTTTTTATTTGAGTCTTTCCTGCGGCTTCCCAGAATCCTGAGGGTCTGTTGACGAAAGGTCCTGTCCAACAGGAAGTACATCACAGGGTCAGTGGAGGATCTCAGAGCAGCAAGAAAGAATAAAAAGTTCTTCACCTGGAGAGAGAGGAGAAGGTCATGCAATCTGCTCTGAACCCAGACAGAGAGATGAAGAGGCGAAGCATAGCTACCTCAATGAAGGTGTTGATTGGATGACAGGAGTGTTTGGAAGGACAGGAGGATGGCTGCGGGGCGGGAGGGTCATAAGCCAGGGTGAGGACGATTGGTTTGAAGATGTGATAGGGCAGCATGCAGATAGAGAGGACCACCTGCACAGAGTTAGTGACAGAGAGGTTCTACAGACAGTTAAACTCCTGACATTCGCTAAAGAAACCAAGATGCTATCTGCAGTGCAATCAGGAAACAATCTGTTGGCTGTGATCACTATCAGTCAGAATCAGCTGTTTCTTCACTGCAAACATGTTTGTCTTCATGCTCAATAACAGAATCCGTCATGGGAACAGGTGCCGGGTGATGACACCTCCTTGGTGAGATCACAAACAGAAAGGAAAGAGATTTAGCTCATCAGGTTTCTGTAAGTTTGCATGTTTAACTGTTTTAATGTGAGAAACGGAAGAGCAGAGTAAGTTTAAGCTGCATCTTCCAAGAGGAAAATTCCTGCTAAACCCAGAGAGCTACATCCTGCCTCTGGTGGAGTCATCTTCAGTCATCTCCGTCCTCATGGAGCAGCTCTGAGCTCAGCTAAGTCTGTGACTGTTTCCACTCCTCAGGATGAACAACTCTTGGTCGGGTTTCATCTCAGTGTTTACCTGTTTTTAACCCAGTTGTTGATGATGCAGTGTTTCCTGTTAATGGAACATCAACCTGTCCTTCAGCCCACGCTGGAGCTTGGTTCTCATGTTCCTAAGTCTTGTGCTGCTGAACAGTTTTTAATTAGAACGGCACCATCCCAGAGACTGTGGGCAATAAAACTCAAGGTCGCAGGAAATACTTTGAGTCTAGCAACAAACAGCTCTGGGTTCTTAGAACTAAGTGAGTTCTGGGAGCCATCAGGTCATCTCTAAGTCATGGATTTATGCTGCCAGCCACTGAACCAGGTGAGTCCAACCAGGACCAATGGGATGTAGATGACCTGATGGCTCCACATCTCCCTCGTCTTCTCAGGTTTCCAGAGCTGTGTGTCTTTTCCCTTTTCTCTCACAGGGTGGCAGGCTAATTGAGTCCAGCTGGGTTCCATTCCCTCAATCAGTGGTGGCCTTTAAGAAGGAGCAGTCTCCCAGACGGTTCTTATACTCAGAGTGGTAACAAGCCAACTTGGAGAAATATCAGTATTGAGTTTTTTCCCTCCTGTTGGTTCTTCTGTCTAAAACCTGATTGTCTTTGGAAAAGACTCCTGTTGGATCTACCTCCCCGAGGCTTCCTCCTGCTCCTTCCACCAACTAGGCCTTCAGAACCTGTGGCTCTCACCTGTCCACCCTCATCTCCAAACAAACTGAAAGACCAGTGTCTCCACTCTCACACCCCAACATCTACTTCCAACCAGCAAAGACCAGGCTTCATGGACTCCTGCTCACTGCAAGCTGACTTAAACTGTTTTAAACAGCTTTCCATAATCCATCCATCCCCATTTAACAACTTGTTTTCCCTCCCAGTGCCTCCCAGTGCCTCCCAGTGCCTCTCAGTGCCGGTTCCCTCACTTCTTCCCATACTCTGCTCTCCTTGCTTGATCCTGAAAACAAACTGTTTAAATCTGCTTCTCTCTGTGCGTGTGCCTACTAGCATTACTAGAGCTAGCATTATGACACGTCTGGGCTGAGTCCTGCCTGAAAGATGACAGTCGGGCTGCCATGAAAGGGGCCCACAGAGGGGGCCCAAAAAATACTGAGTTCAGCAGTCAGGTGGGCTCAGCATCAGGCTCACAGAAAATCAGTCTTAGGGAGCAAGATCTTTATGACTTTTGCAAAGCCTAGTCGGGTCATTTCTCTTTTCTCTTCCAGACATTTCAGGCTTTATAAAGTTGTAAACTTGATTTTATATCATCTTTCTTTGAAAAGAAGCAGTTTACAACATTGCAGCAGTGGTAAAACAAAATGAGGCTTTCTGTGGACTATTACGGTGACTCATGAAGTCAGGGCAAATGGTTTATTATGACCAGATGTTTTATTCTGTTTACCACTTCCTGTCCTGCTCGATCTGCCTTGCATAGTCTAGCTGCATTGGGCTTCAGCTTGAGGCAGAAATATGAGACAGTTCAGCATCGAACACTGAGAAACTGTAAAGGTTTCATTTTCAAAAATATTCAGCTGAAGATGTTGATAGAACTGCTGGAAAACGACTGCTGACCAGTGCAGACCTAGTTCAGGGATCTAGTCAGTTCATCTATCAATAGACTAGTTTTACTTACTGGTGCTGATGGGATGATGGTGCCAGCGATTAGTTGCTGCCATGCTAAAATGTATTCCTGCAGCATCACATGCTAACACTGTCTGTAGGACGCCAAAGCTATGCATGGAGCCTCATGACCTGGGTTCGAGATATAATGGCAGTGTTTGCTGACTCGGTCAGTGGTCCTGGAGTGGTCCCCCCCCTCTAATAATGGTTAAAACTTCAGCTCCATTCTGGGACTGTCTGAAAGTCGGAGGTTTCCCGTTCACAGATCCAGAACTAAGTGATGAAACGGCCGTCGGTTGTGAAAGATCTCACCTGGATGACCACGATGTTCCGGGAGACCCGTGCCAGCAGGCTCTGGGAGCTGGTGATGTTGGCGTTGCGTCGAGAGCGCCTGAGGTGCTTCAGGACGGTCACATAAGAGAGCAGCACCACCAGGTAGAGAGCAAAGAACAGAACGATGAGGGTAATGCTGGAGGAGGAAGACACGCTGCCTCCTAGTTCCACCACAGGGCTGTAGCAAACCTTCTTACAGCCACCTTTCTTTGCCTCGGCTGCACTCTCCATGGCTTCATTCACAGAGTAGTAAACGGTCACTGGAACAATACCTCCCACCGCCACCACCCACAGCAAGGCGCACATGCTGTGTGCAAAAGAGATCTGCGTGAGACTGGAGAAGAGGCCGCTTGGCAGCAGGCGGATGCAGGCGCTCGGCCTGGAGGCATGGGTGTTACGGATGAGGATGGCAAAGCGACTGAGGGCCACGCCTGTGAGAATCAGCAGGCTGATGTAGATGTTGATGTGGAGCACAGGGGTGATGCCGTGCAGGACTATCTGACATGGAATCTGTTTTAGATCCCAGTAGGAGCCCCAGGCGTAGTACGCTGCGAGGAAGGGCACGGTGACAGCCATCACCAGGTTGGAGATGCTCAGGTGGGAAAGGTAAATGTGGGTGGGGGAGATGGAGGGGATGCAGCGCAGGAAGACCCACAGCGACAGGAAGTTCCCTGGCAGAGCAGTGAGGAAGAGGAGGGTATAGAAGGAGGGGAGGAAGTAGAGCGTTGCAGCCGATGGACACAGGGAGAAGGAGGCATTATTGACAGAATGTCCAAGGGACGTGTCCTCCATTGATCCTGAAAAAAACAAACATGTGATTTACTTCATTTTTACGATAATCGACTTTAATGAAAATGTAAATACAGGAAAGTTTTATTTTACAACCACAATGTTCAAGGTATTTGATTCAAATTTAACAGAAGGTAAAGGACGGATTATTTCCAAAATATTGTTTGAAAAGAAGAAACCATTTGTATTCAGCCCCATTTACTCTGACCTCACTAAATGAAAACGCTGTAAAACAGCTGCAGTAAGAAATAAAGAATTTATCAGCTATTCTGTTTGTCTGAGAACTACAGCTGGACAAATACTGTTTTAAAGTATTCAAATAACCTTTAAACACAAATGTTGAAATCACAGAGGCACTTTATTGTTGGTGAAGTGACATTTAACCAGAGGAAGAAACACTTTTAACTCCAGCCCTTTAGGTGGCAGTATAGCAAAGGTCCTAATTAGCATTCCATGCCTATGTGATGCCCACTGGTGTGTCCCCACCATTGAAAAAAGAAGCATGCATTTTTTAAATTATTTATGAGGTTATGATAAGTAGTTATTTTATTTGTTGTTAATGACCGTAGTTACAGTGTTTCAGCAGTAGGTGGCGCATGGAGACTATGAACTGCCTGTTGCTCTGCCTGAGAGAAACGGCGTCTCCCGTTTGCTCAGCTTGATCAAAGATGTGCAATAAGTCCCTTACCAGAATTATTTAAACAGTGTTTGGGTGTTCAGTGATTGATTTAATTTAATATCGTATTACGGGGACAAGGTTGGCCGTTTATTAGCACATCAATTACGAATTCAAGTCAACTCTTGTATAATACCTAGTATTCAACTACCCAACAGGTAATTAGAACAGTCCTTACTCAAAATTAATGAAACTTTAGAATTATTTTATTCATCTTTACATTCATCAAAATTTCCCACAGATAATAATAAAATGGAAGAATATCCTGAAAGTTTTCCCATTCCTGCTATTTATACAGAGCCGACCAGGAGCAGTATCCACATCAATAGTAGCACAGCAGCGCTTTCATTGAATAAATTCAGTAATAACCCAGGCCCTGATGGGTTTCCCATCGAGTTTATAAGAAGTTCAATGAAAAATTGGCACCACTATTATTGGCTATGTTTAACGAATCTTTGCTAGTCTTTACCCCCTTAACACAAGCTACTACAGTTTTACTTCACAAAAGGACAAGGACATGAATTTAAATGGCTCTTACAGACCACTGTCCTAGTTAAATTCAAAAGTAAAGGTGCTAGCCAACTTGATTGCTTTTCGTTTGGAGAAGGCCCTTCCTTTGGTTATATCTGAAGAGCAAAATGGCTTTGTCAAAGGGCGTCAATTATTCTTTAATATTTGCAGCCTTTTAAATGTCATATACTCAAAGCGTTCTTCTGATATGCCTGAAATGCTTATTTCCCTTGACGCTGTAAAAGCATTTGACACGGATGAGGGGGAGTACTAGTTTGGGTTCTGAAGAGGTTCGGATTCTGTGATACATTAGTTTCCTGGATTCCTTTAATCTATGCGTCTCCCAGGGTCCATAATAATGATATTTACTCCAATTATTTCTGTCTTGGGCGGGGAACAAGTCAAGGCTGTCTGTTGTGGCCTTGGCTCTTCATTATTGCAATTGAGCCTTTGTCTATTGCATTGTTGCATCCCCCTCATTTAGTGGGATTTTTCGGAAAAGGACAGAATATAAATTGCCCTTATATGCAGATGATCTGTTGCTATATGTATCTAATTCCACTACTTCTTTCCCGACTGTCTTGTGTCTCTTAAATAATTTTGGCTTATTTTCAGGCTACAAATTGAATTTGGAAAATAGTGAATGCTTTCCTAAAACACTGCTGCTTGTGGTCTTCAACATTCTGACTTTCCATTCAAATTCAGTCTCACAGGACTTAGATATCTTGGTATAAATGAGACACGTTCGTTATCTGTCCCCACTTCTGCTAACTTTCCGTCTCTTGTTAGATCTGATGTCGAGTTGCCTTAATCTTCCGCTCTCCCTTCTGGGAAGGATTAATGTTGTCAAGATGAATGTCTTTTCTTATTTTTTTTCTGTTTCATTCTATTCCCCTTTTAATGCCAAAAATCTTTTTTTAATTCCTTGGAAAGGTCGACTAGTGTCTTTATTTGGAATGGGAAACAAACTGGAGTTCATCAAACATCATTGCAAAGATGTAAACTCAGTGGAGGACTTTCAATCATATTATTGATCTGCAAAATAAATAAATCTTAAATAAAATAAATCTTCTGCAGCCTGGGCGCCTCTGGGCTGCTTCTGACATTTCATGGGAATACGTGCGTTATGCATTAGTTAGGCGGTCTTTGGAAATAAGTTGGAAAAAAATAGAAAAAACACATAGAAAGTTCAGCGTATGCCAGCGTTTTAGAAGATTGTGGGATGTCAGGCAGACGCTGGATAAATCCTCAAGGTGTGACAGAGGCTTAAGGAAGAGCCCAGCCACCCTGAAGACCAGAGGTGTCAACTGGTTCCAGAAGGTTTGCAGGTTTTCTTTCCTAGTAAACCAGACTCCATTCAGCTCATCAAGTCATCACGTTCAGATTGGATGAGTCCAGTCGGATGTTTGAATAAGGTGCTGAGCTTGGGCGAGCTAGTTAAGTCAGGTTTTTATGTATGTATTGTAATGATCCTGGCACTGGAGTAGATCCTGCTTCTCTCTGATTCAGTCTCCAATCCCCTCTCTAGTGTCCCCACCTGCATAAAGGCTCCGTCCTGATCTGTCTCCACTGCCAGATCGTTCCCAACCAGCCCAGTGAGAACGGTCCAGCCTACATTGTTTGATTACCTGTCTACCTGCCTGTCTTTGTCCCCAGGCTCTGAGCCTGCCTGATCCCTCTCTGGATTTGCCTGCCTGCCTGAGACCTGCTCTGTCAGCCTCTGGATTCTGGATTGACCCCCCCGTGCTTCTGACCCCTTTCTGCCTGTGAGTACTTGAGGCTGTCTGTCCCCTTAACTCTCAGTACCTGCAAACAAGCGGACGCCCCTGACCCCGAAGCCTCCTGCCTGTCTCTGGCTGACACTCTGGCTCCTCTCGTTACCATGACGCTCCATCCGGTTATTGAAAGCTGCACGGTCCAGCGCTGTTTGAACGCTGCTGTTTCAATAAATACTTTAACCTGTCATGGTTGAATCTTGGGTCTGAATCCAGAACATTACATTTATTTGAACTTTTGGACTCTTTATGCTGATGTTTCATCTAAAATGGTTTATAAAAGAGCTCTGATTTCATGGTGTGAATGATGTGGTGTGATTGGCTGTCAGTGAGTTTATGTGATTCTTTCATCTTCATTTCTTGGTTCCCTTTTTTGTCCTGAGTTTAGTGTAGTAAAGTACTTAGGAGTCTGTATGCCTTTTAAAAAGTGTGCAACCGCGTGTTAGGGGCGTCCGTTTTCTGAGCTTTTAAACTTATTGGCTGCGTTTGAATTTATGGGCTGCGTCTTCTAAGGACGCGGTCTACCTGGACTGGATCCTTCCAAGTCCATGAAAATAA